TTTTTCATATTATCGAAAGCTTCATAACAAAAAACAATATTCCTTTTACAACAAAATTATTATATTTTATTTTAATATAATATATTTTAAAGGTAAATAAATAAAGGGATTTTAACTGCACCTCTATTTAAAAATTTAAGTAAACCAAATTTCTCCACTACTGCAACCTACTGCATATCAAAAAAAATAATGTACTACAATTAACTACATATTACTCACCGTAAAACAAAAATACTGATTTGCACACAAATTGTTCAATATTACAACGGAATTTCCAAAATACGTTAGGTTAGGAATGATTAGATTTACTTTTAGTTAAAAGGTAGTCATTCAGTATAACAGTTGAGTTTTAAAGTTCTAACAGTATAGTATAATTGATTTTTTTGATGAGCAAATTTAGTGTGCAATTCAGTATTTTTGGTGGTAATTAGGAATATTTTGATTAAAAAAAAGGGAATTTACAGTTAAAAGTATTAAATACCACCAATAAATAAATTGCTAGCTATACGACGTATGTTACCAATTAATATAAATTACTTGTATCAGAAAATATTTATCAAGATATGAAAAGGACAAAACGTTGGCTCAGTTTCTTTGCTCCTAAGTGTATGATTGACCCCTCATCGCTCTTCACCGAAGAGTGAAGTGAAGAGCGGTGAAAAGTGGTCAGTGTTTCCACTGAAGCGGTGCGGACCGAAAAAGAGCACAGCGGAGCCTACTTTTAGAATTGCGTATTTTTGCGCTTAGTTACAGTCAATATTTCAGAAAGACCATTCGTCGTGTTGTGGATTAAAGGAAAAAAAGGAATCATTTTAGATCTTTCTCTACTTGAGAAGGAATCAGAATCAGATGCCGTAGTATTTCCTGTTGCCCTCGCTATCCTTCGCATAGTACTGTCCCCTGTCCTCCGCTCTGCACCCGAATGCTCGTTGACCTCCGCACCGCATTTGCTCGCTGTATTTTTATTATGAATATCCGCTCATCTCTACTCCATCCCGCTCATGCTGTTTCCATTGAAGCGGAGCAGAGATTTCGACCATAGTGATTGGTCAATTCGTGCACTGCTAAGCTCCTTTACGCCCCGCTCCGCGCCAATGGAAACGCAGCCTAAATGTAGCAAAGAGTCTAGCGTCATGATGAAGATGTACAGACCCGTGGTACCCACCATACTAAACTTACATAGTACATAGATTGGTTATTTTCATAAACCAAACCAGAAGTTGCTTGGTTACTTGTGATGAGAAGTCTCTTCGAGGCAAGTCAAAAATAAAACGACAAAAATGGACTTTTCACTATATTTGTAACAAAACACAAATGCCACTTCACAACACACGCGGACTACACACGAATAATTTTTGTTCCCGGTTCCCATTTGTAGCTATTGAACCCACTTCGAACCTTTTTAACGATGCTATTCACAACAGACGGCTTCTTCGCTGTTTCCATCGAAGTATAGTACACAATATTTGTGGAGGGGTCGCAACTAAGACTCTCCTCCGACCTCCTATGCGATACTTCTGAATAAGTGTCCTGACTAATTTCAGAATTAGACCTATGAACCCCCGAGTGAGTCCTATCCAAGCTTTGGACTTGGATCTTTCCATCTTCAGAAACCATGTCGACTCTATTCAGAGATCTACGATTTAGGATGCCTGCGCAGCTGTGGAATTTTGAAAATTTGTCGTGCACGCGGTGCTCTAAATCCACGTGGAGGCTTAACTGCCTTCTGAAAAGGAGAAAAAAAGTTTATTTGCTGCTAAAATCGTGACATCTATGAAGAACAATATATGAAAATGATTAGTCTTTAAAATCTCCTAATCTATTTGAACCATTAACCTAACGATGAATTTAGACAGTCACAGTTGAATATTACAGAAATTTTAGTGCAGTGAAGAACACAGGCCGAAACGTCTCTAACTTTATCGTCAACTCTGCGAAGATCGGCAAAAGTGTAAGACCGGATAGTTACATAAATACAATTACTAAATATCAACAAATACTGAAGATTAACTCAAGATACAAGCACTTTATAGCCATTTTAGTAACTTTATATTCGTGATAAAGAACGAGAGATATAGCTAACTATACAGTGTTCCACCCATCCAATCTTCGCCCAGTTGACCTTACCTGTAATTGAATTGTTCTCCACAAATATGACATGCTATAGGCGAGCTGTACTGGAGTTTCGAAGTCACCTCAGATTCGGCAGACGAAGCACTCTTGGACTTGCCCATCTTGCGATGCAGATTGACGCAGCTCACCGTGCGCTTGTCTGAAGAATCAGACTCCTCTGTCGTCTCAAGCGTCGCTGTCTTAGACTGCTGTAAATTCGATTCAGAGAATCTACTTTTCTTGATTTCCGTCAAAATTTGGTCCGGATCAGATATCTTGTCGAAAAATGACACGATCTTCTTCAATTTGTCTTCTGGGACGTCACATTTCGTCATTTCTGGATCAGTTTGGGTGTTGCTGGCTTTTTTGTAGGTTAGTCGCGTGGCGGATGGTGTGGAGATGTTGGTGCTACCCAGTTTGGAGATGCCGATGTCTCCAAGTTTGGAGATGCCGATGTGTTCGTTCTCGTGGACGTATTTGTCGTATTCTCTCTCGAAGCCTTCGTGGCAGTAATGGCAGATGTATTTTCTGTCGGTGAAGTGACAGAGATTGAGGTGGTCGTTGTAGTTAATTATTCCTGAAAATAAACAAGTAGCTAAGAACCAGTACAATGTTGGGTGTGTCTAGAGAAAGTTACCGAGTAATGTTGACACAGTTTTAAAACCTGAAGACGGAGTATCTTATCTTATCGAATTGTCTAGCTATGTTGACACTTTCTCAACAAACGCAATAGATACATACTTGTATGTTTATTAAGATAATATAGATGGGTCAACAGTTATGAAACTGTTGTAATTCTAGATTCAAGTTAAAACGTAAATTCCTTTAAAGGAGAAAGAGCAGTGAACTCCATAGCTACTCCGTGGAAAACAATGTTAAGTAGGTACTTCTACAGAAGAATCCTAATTCATTTAAGAGATAGGACATGGTTGGCTTTGGCTCGTAAGAAGCTGACAGTCTCCTTCGTGTCTTCTAGGTCAAAACACAGTGTTTAGAACTTACCATAGGAGATCATACGGCATCCCAAAATCGGACATTGACGCGGCGTGGTGTCCATCAAACAGTTTCTCTGCACTGATTGGACATAAGTCAAGATGAAGGGACTTTTCACATCTCTCAAAGCGATTTCCGATTGAATCTTCTTAGGGCGTCGCAACCTTCGGAATCTCAAGCCACGGCGACGTCTCTTATCGCAGAAATTATGGGAAATATTATTATCGCTAGCGGCATACACGTGACCGTTGGGCAATACATAGTTTTTATACGGTCTCTCTTGCCGTATACCGAAAATCCGGTGGATGAAACATTGGAACCTCGTGAGCTTGCGTTTCTCGCTCATCATGAGGTAAGGAATTGGGTGAGGGAGGGGATGAGAGTCGCTGGTCTGGGTAAATTCGCACTCCTGACGTTCCAGGCGTTCGAGGTGCTCATGACGTTCAAGACAATCGCGTTCTGGTATATTCGGGATGGTGAGAGCCCTTTCCAAAGTCATGTTTTCCCTAGACTCTTGGGTAGCCGCGTATTTGCTGTCTTTCTGTAGTATGGACTCCATCTGCGTCGACGTGCAGGAACATTTCGTTATCTTGAGGTCTCTTATTACAGACGTAGCTATGGACTCTTTGTCAGTGTCAGTGTGCATCGTGACGTCACCGCTCGACACCTCGTTCGTCCCGGCGCATGCGTCGGTTTTCGTGCGATGCGATCGCTTCTTTCTCTTCTTGGTCGACTTTATATCCTCTTCTAAGTACCCCTCCGGCCCGTAAGACTCCGGCAGGATCCCTATAACGCTAGCATCGTATATTTGGAACAATTTCTTCAAACATTTATACTTAGCTTTAAGAACTTCGTGTTTCTTCTTCGGCACCCATTTGTTAGTTAAATGCTCATCCTCGTTCTCGTTTCGTTCTGGTATGCTAGTTAGCGTCGGTTGTTTCCTATACATACCGCGATACCAGATTGCAAGACTACAGAAAATTTTGATAACGAAAAAAAATATGACACTAGCGAATACTTCGCAATTTCGATATGGTATCATAACTGTACAAATTTACAGTTATTAAACAAATGTTTTTTATAATGTGTTGTCTTGATTCTAAGGAGTGCATAGTGTAGTGACATTTTCACATGCCGCTGTCAGCTTTGAAAATGGAACGTTCTTATTTTTACTTCTTTTTTCTTTTTTTTAGAAGGTGGGTTTACGAAGCCAGTTTCGAAGAAGGTAAAGGTGTAATTCTTATATAATTCTTAGCGGTCATTGGGGCATTTGTGACCTCTTTAGTTTTTTTATGACTGCCATTAAAAACAAGTAGGTACTTGATTTCCTCTGTTCCGTTAGGTAAGTATACGTGAGAGCTTTACAATATACATTACATACGTGAACAACACAACGACGACGCTAACCGTGTATCACAGGGCCAAGTACGAATAACTATCGCATTCGTACCGTAATAGTATCGAGCGAGTAAAGCGTTCTAATTGGTTGGTTCACTTGAGCCGGCCAATCAGAGCGCCGAACGCCCTCGATACTATTACGTTACGAATGCGATAGTTATTCGTGCTTGGCACTCAGACATACAATACACCCAGTTTTCAAAAACTCTGGCTGAACTTAGAACTTAAAATACTGTATTTCCTGAAGGGTATATAGAGGTATAACCTGAATAGGTTGGTTATGGGACGACGTGCTCCATCGTAGACCGCATCATCGCTTACCACCAGGCGAGATAGTGGTCAAACGTCGGCCCAACAAAATTTAAAAAAACTTATCTACATGCCGTGGATTTAGGAATCGGGTTAGACAAGAAAAAGAAAACACAAGCTATTACAAAATATTTATTACCTATAAATAATAATAATAAATAACAATTGTATAAAATTAAATTATCGTCTATAAATGTTAATACGTATTTACATCACAATAGGTACCTGTAGGTACACTATAAATATATTAAAACTATAACTTTTTAAATAAAAGCACCTTCAGGCATCAGCAAACCTGAAAAAAAAAAGAAAAAAAAAGTTACTAACATTGCATCTCTTATCTTCTGGCTGGTTTATCACATGGACAAGGGTGCTTACCTACTCTTGAAACCAATCTCAATGTCAATGCAATTTGAAACCAATAAAATCTCAATAATTATCTAACGTCAACACTATACAACCCCTATCGTAGCTGTTAAAGTAGCATTCAGAGTACGGAATATAAAGCCAAACTCAATACTATTTAGTTCATTCAATATCCACGCAATACGGATGTAATGGGCGCTAGTGTTGTAACTCAAGAGTACGAAATTTTATAATTTCAATGTCGATCGATAGGAATTGGATTCAAGAGTAAGCCCCCAGTTCTTAACTTGAATCACATTTTGTCAGAGAGCACCTAACCTTTTTGTGTATGTTATAGGTACTTAATTATAAGTATGTACACCGTGAAATCTATTAAGTTTTCATCGTGCGGCAATATAACTGACCATAAGAAGTACTTTTGATGTACCTACAAAGTAAGTAAACATAAAAAAATAAACATGTCATATTTTTTAAGTTTAATTTTTTTTGAACATGTTTGAAATTCATGAGTTCATAAAACACTAGACGTAAATTTGTAGGCAGTATTCGCATCACACGTGCCACTCGACGAGAAATACCTCTTCGAGAATTACATGATGTGATATTTTTTTTAAATCTTTATTTAATTGAAAGGGCTTTTTTCCTAAGAGGAAAACGTCAGCCCTATTATAGGATACAAAATTCAATACAAAAAATAAAGTAGCTTAATCTAGCACTTAAGCATAAACACAAAATAATTAATGTCTTTAAGTGTGGGAGAGCCATGCTTCGGCACGAATGGGCCGGCTCGACCGGAGTGATACCACGGCCGACCAGAAAACCGACGTAAAGCAACGCTTGCATTGTGTTTCGTCGTGTGAGTGAGGTTACCGGAGGCCCAATTACCCTCCCCTTCCTCAATCTCCCCAATCCCTGAATCCCCAACGATTCTCAAACTCCTAATCCCTAAAAGGCCGGTAACGCACTTGTAACGCCTCTGGTGTTCCAGGTGTCCAGGGGCGACGCTGATTGCTTACCATCAGGTGATATGTCTGCTCGTTTATCGGCTTATGCCATAATGTTTTGTTTTTGTATGTTTTGATAATGTACTACGAGTTCGCATGCGCTTTCGAAGTGTGCTTTTTGCAATGGTTCACCAGTCAAATTTTGTTTGAACAAATAGATTTCACGGTGTATTTTATCACAGTTTTAAACTTTTCTTGTTTTATAAGCTAAAGATGAACTAGTTACCTGCTATGCACGCTGTCATGAAACAGATGCCGCATCCTGCGAAGAATGCTCTCACAGCCACCTGGAACAAAATACATAGCATTGTTTCAATTATCTTTACTCCCGCGTTGCGCAGTTCCTATTGATTGTAGCGAAATGTTTTACAGCCTTCCTCGATAAATGGACTATCCGCTACAAAAATAATTATTCGATTCGAACCAGCAGTTCCGGAGATAGGCGCGCTCAAGCAAACAAAGAGATATATATATAAATACCAGATACAGATAAATGAAATTGGAGTATCTGTTTTTAATATTAAAATAACCGCTTTTACTACATCCATATTAATATACAACATGTAACTCAAATAACGCACATCCTGAAAATAATTTATTCAGAATCGTTAACTGAATCGATTTATATAATTTTTAGTATAAGTAGGTAATTTTTTATCTCCAAAAATAATTTAAACTACGAAAATTATTGTCATATTAACCCTGTATTGTTAAAACAAATCGAAATGGACCGTAAGTCAAAGCAATAAGACTTTTGAAATCGCAGTTTTATTTGTATTCATACAAATTCTATCATTCAAAACAAAATAAAGAAAAATAAACCTTATGACAAGACCAGTAAGGATGCATATACATGTTAAATTTAAAATTCAGTGTATGTATTATGATTATAACATAATATTCTAATTGGGGTGTTTGAGGGTGTGCGTTAATTACGTTACATGTTGTATATGCATATGGACTTACCAAAATAATATTTAGTACAATTTCTGTATGTCTGTCTATCTGTTTGTAGTGACTATCTCTGAAATGGCTGGACTGAATTTACACGTCTTTTATTTATAACGTAGGCTACTTATATTTTAGAAACATCGTGAGTAAACCTTGGCTTGTAATTTCTAATTACACGTTTGAAATCGCCAACCCGCATTGAGCAAGCGTGGTGATTAATTATCAAACCTTCTCCGTGTGAGAAGAGGCCTTTGGTCAGCAGTGGGCACGTATAGGCTGTTGATGATGTTGATGATGGTAAATAAAATAAGATTGTAGAGGTATACTCACACTAGATAGCACTTCTCTTTGTCCAGGCGCCATGGCAGCGATGGCACCTATCATAATACCAGCTGATCCAGGGTTGGTGAAACCACAGAGGGAATAAGTTGCAATCAACTCTGCTCGCGGCTGAAGACAAATACATAAAATATGATATTATAATTTTAGATAAACTTTACAATATATCTACATTTATTATTGCACAAAAAATACTAAATTTTCGGTTCAAATATCTCAAATTAACAAACAGAGAAACGTGAAATAACAATTGCGTTGTGTTTCGTAGTGTGAGTGAGGTTACCGGAGGCAACCTCCCCAATCCCCGAATCCCCAACAATCCTCAAATTCCAATCCCCAAAAGGTCGGTAACGCACTTCTAGCGCCTCTGGTGTTGCGAGTGTCCATGGGCGGCGCCGATTGCTTACCATCAGGTGATTCGTCTGCTCGTTTACCAGCTTATACCATAAAAAAATAGTTATCTATTATTTTTCAAATTAAAAAAAAGTATCTACTAATTTCCCCAATAGTCAACACCATATTTAGCACTAAAAAATGTTGCGAAACTCACCCCCTATTACATGGGACTCATAACGTAAATATTGATAAGTCAGTGTTGCATAGTACAGTGGCATTAAGTGCCGAAATGTGCACCTCTGCCTACCCCTTCGGGGATAAAAAGACGTTGATGTTGATCTAGAAGTTGCGAAAACATATTGACTAATAGATAACCAATATTAGATTGACTTACAGACAGTAATCCATCTCTCTTCATCTCCCCCATTCTCTGATAGGCCACGAACTCGTTGACCACCGTCTTCAGGCCGATCAGGGAACCAACCAGCTCACACTCCTCCCATGGTACACCTGAAAAGATAAAATTCAAATTTATTTCAGTTACATCAATAATGTAAACTACTTACATACGTTAAAATATATTATTATATTTTTCCTTTTTTTTAAACCTTTGCCCCACAATAGGATTTTCTCCTGTATCGTGTGTGCGTTTACAAACATACAAGTTCAGATACTCATGACATACAGACCCGGAACAACAATCTGTGGATCACACAAAGATTTGCTCCGTGCGGGAATCGAAATTGCAACCGCGACCGAGAAAATCGCTTCGTGAATCCTTAGCTTTAAACTGTCCAGCACCAAGCGGTCACCGGTGACCGCAACATATTGTTCTATAATTGTGTCTACAAAACCGGTACTCGACGAGTTAAATGTGTGTCGCGGAGAACCTAACGGGTAACCGGGACTCCGGCTCGACGTGCAGGAGAAGGAACGAAGTGGTTTTTAGTCAGTAAGTCTGACACTCCTTCCCGCCTCACCCAGGCGGGAGGCGTCATTCGATGATTTTCCCCCCTTAAAAAAAAGCTTTAAATGTGTGATGTGTCATGTCCTTATGTCCTATTATTACAGTTGTATTTAAAAAAGAAAAAATACAAATAGGTACACATATAAGTAACTCTTATTTTCAATAACAATATCGTTTTATTTGTATGCACCGAGTTAACGGTACTTATCATAGTTGTAGACAAGAGAATAATATTAATGTAACGAATAAATTAACTTGATTATATGTATTTCATTTTAATGTTTTTCCATTGTCATGTAAAAGAATTAAAATATGTCCTCTATGTCTTTATTTAACTACCTACCGTGACTTAATCATGAATGTCCTGTTAGATTGTTAAAATAATATACATAATTTCACGCCGGTATATCTTCATTAACGTAGTCAGGTGTGGGAGAGCCATGCTTCGGCACGAATGGGCCGGCTCGACCGGAGTGATACCACGGCCGAGCAGAAAACCGACGTAAAGCAACACTTGGGTTGTGTTTCGTCGTGTGAGTAAAGTTACCGGAGGAGGCCCAATTACCCTCCCCTTCCCCAATCTCCCCAATTCCTGAATCCCCGAAGATCATCAAACTCCTTATCCCCAAAAGGCTAGTAACGCACTTGTAACGCCTCTGGTGTTCCAGGTGTCTGGGCGACGCCGATTGCTTACCATCAGGTGATCCGTCTGCTCGTTTACCAGCTTATGCCATAAAAAAATGTCAATGTAATGTACCTTTAATTTTACATAAACTTTACTATTTTTATATCTATTTTATATAGTGACATACGGCGAAGGAAATCCTTTTTAACCGACTTCAAAAAAGTAGGAGGTTCTCACTTTGACTTGTATGTTTGTTCGCGAATATCTCGCCATGGGCTAAACCGATTTTGATGCCGTTTTCGAATGGGGCGGCTCGACAGGATTGATACCACGGCCTCACTGAAAACCGACGTGAAGCAACGCTTGCGTTGTGTTTCGTCGTGTGAATGAGGAGGCCCAACCCACCCCCCCCAATCTCTCTAATCCTCTAAACCCCAATAATCTGCAATTTCCTAATCCCCAAAAGGCAACGCATTTGTAACGCCTCTGGTCCTGCGTCCATTGGTGGCGCCCATTGCTTACCATCAGGTGCTCCGACAGCTCGTTTACCGGCTTATACCATTAAAAAAACAAATGAACAACTCACCCATTACCCATGCAAGAGGTATGAATACTTTTCCGAATATCCATTCCAGGTTTTTGTCTTCGTATCCCACTAAATTTGCACAATAGCCGATTACGCCGTTGACGAATGCCACAAAGGCCACAAAAGCTATGATATTGGCGATAATATTGAGGACCAGCGCTATACCGTTGGTAGCTCCTCTTGTGGCTGCAGAAAGGACTGATTTGTCTTGACTGTAAAAAAAAACACAAGACATAACATAACATCACGCCTTTTATCCCTAAAGGGGTAGGCAGAAGTGCACACAGAAGTTACACCCACTTTTCATTATTTATGTTATGAGTCCCATGTAATAGGGGGTGAGCCTATTGCCATTTACCGGGCACAATTCCAGACTCCGTGCTACTATTGAGATTTTTTTTTAAATCCAGTAATAGAAAGAAAGAAAGAAAAAACATTTATTTAGCACCAGGCACGATGCAGCATACATAAATAAAATAAAAAAAAAAGACAATCAAGGTGTGACAGTGGAAGTAATAAAAATATAAGAGTTGAAAAATTGAAACAGAAGAATTAGAAAAGAGACGCTGACAACATGCCTATGCTAAAAGGGTGACCCACTCAGTGTAAGCCAGGCATACAGGTTACCCAGCACTGATTTTCAGTGGGCACCCATGCAGTGACGCACGGATGGTAGCAACGTTGAATGGTTAGACAAAGACAACAAGAAAATATATATATATAT